GAGAGGAGGAGGAGGAGGCAGAGCCAGAGCAGCTGGCTGACATGTTATCACTAGAAAGCATTCCAGACCCACCATCTCCCAGAACCCGGTGAGCCTTAAAAGTAAGAGAGCAAAGGGGCTCAGAAGCAAAGGGCCCTCAGCGCCACCTGTAGAAGAGATGGCGAATGAGGAAGTGATGGAAATTGACTGAGGACAACACCATTATTCCAAGTTGCTGCATTCCCATTTTTTTGAATAAAAGCAGATGGTAAGGACTTTTCCTTGTCTTATCTGTTCCTGGCAACTTGCTGTGGGGGGTTGGTTCCTCTGCCGCCTGACAGTTATTTAGAGAGTGAGCACCAACTTCTGAGTTTATAGTCCTACTTAGGGCAGCACATTTTTTTCAGGAGACTACCAAACAGGCCTCTGTCCTGCCCAGATTGGAAGTATTATGCCTCAGGAATGCCTCCGTAACAATCGTTTGCTGCTTGGCGGGGGGGGTGTGTGTGTGTGTGTGTCTCCCATTGAACAATCTTTGTCAGTCTACATTCCCTGGATCTTAAGCCGTATTTTTCAAATAGTGGCCCTGGACTGAATGGGAAGTAGCAGGGTATTGTACGTAATGGATATCTAACTATGCACATTTAGCTAAACTCTTGGTGCTTCTAACTTGTAATGAAGTCCCCCTCCTCATGACTTGGGGAATGTAGTAGGGTGCTGCTTCTTTTCTCTTAAAGAGGTACTTCTTCCTCAAGAAAATGTCTAAGATTATCTGGACATCCTATATTGCACATAAACTGGGTCTCTCTCTCTCTCAAATCACTTTTGATCATGGTAACTTTGTGCAAAATAAATGGGAGAACTTCATAAATCAGCAGTGAGAGTTCTAAAAAGCAACATAATACCCATTCAGTTATGAAAAGGCATCTTCCCAGTTCTTCATAATTTCAAAGTTCTATTATTGTAAACTATAACAAAATTATACTTGTCATTACTGGAACGCTACATTAACCGGGACATAAAGAGCTTTTAATTGGTATTTAAGAGGTGGTTCTGTACAGAGAAAGAAAAGCTCCCATCAGTGTACATCTTATGACTGCTACTACTTGACGTTATGTTACAGTACATTACATATGTTGAAAGATGTGATCTGTAGCAGATAAGAGAGAGGAAGGAAAGTTTGGTGGTGAATGATGTTCCAAATTTAAAATGACAACCAGAAACAAATACGCAGTTGCGCGGGGAAAGCTGTTAATTAAGACAAGCATTGGCATGTCCAAAGTTTTCTTAGCCATAATTCCGAGGCCCAAAACATACCAGCAGCAAGCAGCTGTGTGGAGCTCTGAATGTGTAGTTGGCTGCTCTGCCCTGTGAAATCCATGAGTTCCACCACAACATCACAAGCAATTGGGGGCGACCCGTCCCATTGTCGGAATCTCCACTCGGCCAAGTTGATAAAGGCTCATTTTCCTCCGGCCGAGCCTTCAGAATCGCCTCCCGACGTATAACGACCTCAAGCCTTTGATGAGGCTCCAAGGCACATTCTCCAATACAGCAGAGTATCCAGCACAGGAAGAGATGAGAGGTTTGGCTACATGCTATGCTTTATTTCTAAGCTACACAGAGAGCAAAGAAAAATACATCCTCCCTCTATGGAAGCAGAGAGCAACTGAAACAAAGGAACAAAGGAAACAGGAAACCAGTAACGTCACATCCGTCTCTAGTCTCCCGTGAGACTTCCAATAGCCTGGACTGTCTCTGGAATGTAAACAGAGTCCTGTGACTCCAAGCAGCTGCACAGTGATAAGAACAGAAACTAACACCCATCTCGCCACCTGAGGCAAAATGGGAATTGCCACCCCCAGCCTGCCGCACCCCACTTAAGCCGCTGCAACCTGGCTCTCGCAGAAGTTGGCAGGAGCTGGGGTGCTCCTGAAAGTGTTTCTGTTTGCTCGGCTTCTTCACCTGGGGGTGGAGAAGATGTGTGGTGATGTCCTGTGCTGAGGTGCCTCCCTCTCAGTGATGGAAGTAGCGAGGCAGTCAAAATGTTGCCTCTTGCACTTCCACTACCCGAGACGGAAGGGTGCTTCAGCTCACACCATGTGCAGGCCGGCTCTGCATACAATCCACCAACATGAACCAATGTGAATTTGCCTTACCTTTACCTTGCCAGCTGCAATCATGGCTGCTTTTACACTGACATGAAGATACAGTGGTACCTCGGGTTACATACACTTCAGGTTACATACGCTTCAGGTTACAGACTCCGCTAACCCAGAAATAGTACCTCAGGTTAAGAACTTTGCTTCAGGATGAGAACAGAAATCATACTCTGGCGGCGCGGCGGCAATGAGAGGCCCCATTAGCTAAAGTGGTGCTTCAGGTGAAGAACAGACCTCCAGAACGAATTAAGTACTTGACCCGAGGTACCACTGTATTGCTAATGCTAGCTGGTTGCAGATCTTCGCTTCAGATCTAGATATCGGAGAGAAAGGTAGTGTGGTTTGTCGAACAGAATATCTGCCAAATTATGGCATTCAGCTATGAAGTCCACGGCATCCTCATGGCCAAAAACTGTCTCACAGTATTGGTGTTAAGGTATAATGTTTGTCTAGAGGTGGGTAGGGAGGTCAAAGAATTCAAGTAGCAATTGGATAGGAAATTTCCCACAATTCACATGTTCGTCTATAGTTATGAATGGAAATCAAGCATGCCTATTCAAGTGGTATTTGCTATTGTTGTTTTTTTCAGCCTGCAAATTATATTTTCTGCATTGTTTTCAACATTTCTCTTTCTCTGAATGGCATTGAAATTATCTGCATAGCTAATTATGTTTGCTCCAGCCATAGCGGATAGCAAGATAAATCATGCAGGTTTTAGTGGAAGCCGAACTGTAGCAGAATGGACACAGTGCTGGTTGTGATGAACAGAGGATGGAATTGATATTGCTGCCACTTCATATCTATAAACATCTACTCTGTAGCCTACAGACTTTAGCTATTTTCAGGTGGGATTCAGTTAAAGGTAAAGGGACCCCTGACCATTAGGTCCAGTCGTGACCGACTCTGGGGTTGCGGCACTCATCTTGCTTTACTGGCCGAGGGAGCCGGCGTACAGCTTCCAGGTCATGTGGCCAGCATGACTAAGCCACTTCTGGCGAACCAGAGCAGCACACGGAAACACTGTTTACCTTCCCGCCGGAGCTGTACCTATTTATCTACTTGTACACTGACAAAAGCAGTGCTTTTGAACTGCTAGGTTGGCAGGAGCAGGGACCGAGCAACCGGAGCTCACCCCGTCGCAGGGATTCAAACCGCCGACCTTCTGATCAGCAAGTCCTAGGCTCTGTGGTTTAAATTCAGGTTGTGCAATTAGAGCAGATTGGGATGTCTTGGACAACAAACCTGCTACCTCAAAAGATCAGACTTTTTGTGATGAGGCAAAAAGAGAACAAAATGCACTGGAAAGGGTGGGATAACACTTGCTTTGATGAAAAGTCATCTAACTTCCCTGCAAGCAACTCAGAATGATTGCACTTAAATAATCAGCATTGTCTGCATCGCCCTGCAAAGAAATCAGGATGAATGCTCAATGAACAGGTCATCTGGAAGCTCCCTGACTCAAGTTTATTGGCAGAAGAGCAGAATTAAAATGTAATGCATAATAGTTCTATCCTGGTCCTCTCCCTGGCATGCTAATATTCTACAGCTAGGAATTTCCACCCCCTTTTGGGGGCAATATTCAAATGCGCAATTCAGGAAAGGTTTCACTGCACAATGAGCTGTTTTGTCTGAGAGTGGAAAGCCTGTCGTTTCAAAGGAAATCATTCCCGGTGTGGTTCTTTCCTACCTTATCATTCTGCTCACTTGTCAAATATTTCCAATGAACTACACATGCAATCTCTGGCCTCTTCAGATATTACTTTTCAGTTCAATTGCTCTTCAGGCAATTAAAGGTGACTCTCCACCCACCACCCAGGATATCAGTAGTAATGGATGATAACGCTCACTTCAAAAGCATCCTGCAAAATTTCTATGTGCCATTCAGCATCTCGTTGCCTTGCCCTTTGCATGCAGCATTGGGGCAACCCTGCCAGTATACAGAATTGTCACTGATAATGCTTTTTATAAACCAGTTACGGATGCTCTGTCTCTTGGCACACAGCAGTTGTGTTCAAAGCTGGGAAGGCAATTACGGCCCACCAATGAGAGTTCTGAGAGCAGAGCAGTCAGCTACCATTTAAAAAACTTAAGCAGGACAAATCAAAGTCCACTGAAACAAAGATGCAGATGGATTTATTTAATCAGTCTTCCACAGCTGAAATGTCCCAGCCATTTGCCTTGTGCCTTGACTTCTTAATTTAACGACTCCTTGGATTCCACTTTCCCATGCTTGTGTCCTTATTTGCTCTTTTATAAAGCAATGTTATTGGTGTGGAGAGGAACTGAAGGCAGAAGACCCAAAACTTTTAAAGCTTTGTTGGCTGCACAGAAGCAGGGCAGAATTTCGAGAGGAGGGGAAGCAATTTTTCCTCCATTTTGGTTTTTGAAATTCTCTTTTCCACAAAAAGTGGATGCGCTGATGAAACAATCACGCAGTTCCCCTCCATACCTCTCCATTTCCTTCCCTGCCAGACACCAGTGCTGGATTTACGTACAAGCTAAACAAGCTATAGCTTAGGGCCCCACTCTCTTGGGGCCCCCCAAAAAATTTAAAGGAAAAAACCACCGGATGTACATTTCCAAAATATAAGATAAAAAACAAATAAAATAAAACCTACATACAGCAACAGTGTTTTGTGTTGTGTAGGCTCTTATGATGTAAGTCATGGGCCCCACCTGCTAGCTTGCTCCCTAAAATATCATTGGTTTGCTCATTTCTATATATAAGGTGCCTACATTCTGCACATGCAAATGGCTTTAGAGACCTATTAGGTCCATAAATTACCATATAGCATATATTGAACACACACAAAAACAGGGACAATTTGTTGTTGACAAAGGACAGCTGGACATATAAAGGGCCCCATTACCTTCAGTAGCTTAGGGCCTCATCAGATGTTTTGTTTTGTGTATATATGCACAAAACAAAACATCTGATGAGGCCCTAAGCTACTGAAGGTAATGGGGCCATATATATATATATATATATATATATATATATATACACACACACACACACAAAACAAAGCACAAATACAGCTATTATATAAAAATACAATGAAACACGAGGACTAGAATATATTCCCCCCCCCCCGACAAATTAAAACACTGGAAATAGTGGTCATTGACAACATTGATTTTATCCAAAAAAGAAGAGTGAAAGCCCAATTGCAAGACAGCTGTGTTATCCTATGCAGTTGATACCCTTGTAAGAGAAGAGAGCGTTTAGAAGCAAGTTAATTTACTGTAAACCTTTCCTCTCCCTTTTTTGATACTGAGTTTTGAAGCATCGTCTGACTGATGAAGTAGTATGGGGAGCTAAGCTGTGTAGAGTTCCTTTTCTGCCAAGTGGCTTATTCCCTGCAGCTGACAAGTCTCTGAGACTGTCATTCCCCACCCCCCTCTGCTTTCTAAATCCTCAAAAGGAATGCCTCATTATAGCTCCCACTTAAAGTTTAGTGCCAGTTGTCAGAGGTGAAAGCTCATTGTCATAGCTGGTTATTTATATGGCAACCTGGCCCTGTTAGTCATTGCTGCTACTGATACAGTAAGTCTCATCAGTTGCTCCTGTGATCACTCATGACAGATTTGCAGTTACATTGAAAATGATTTACCCGACACATGATTGCGGGAATATGACACTTCCAATTTTTTCCTCTCCCTTTGTCATCCATCACCATGTTTAAGACAATTTGCCAATGTAGGTAACATTCTCAGAGGCAGTAATTGCCAGCTCTGGGTAATGTTAACACCAAAACAAAATACAGGCTTCACTACAGAAAAAAAAGGAAATGACTTTTAATAGGTCCCGTTTGTAATTGCATATGATTTTTTTAAATGTATATATATATAGTCACCCTGTGCTCCTTTACTTCCAAGTAACATCTTTCATATATACGCCATCCTAAATGGAAGTGATCAAAACTTTTAGGACTCTTTTTCCAAACTTTAATAACCAAAGTCATTGTTCCTACTGCTTTTTCCACCTGCCTTACCCCACCCTTCAGGCCTAGGAACCTTTCTCAGATCATGGACTCAACTATACAGCTGCAAATATAACGTTTCAAGCGTGTTTTAACTGCATTATACAAATGTGACACTAGATGGCGATGGTGAGCTTATGACAAATTTTATATATATATATATATATATAAATTAAACATTTTCATAGCTTTTTTATGTGTCTAGATTCCACCCATTACATTAAGAACAGCAGAGGCAGCTGGGAAGAGAGAAGAGGAGTTCAGGGATTGTGTGTGTGTGTGTGTGTGTTGTGTGTTCTGTTTTTCAGTTTGATCCTTTTACTTGGTTTCATATGTTTTGTTGTATTCTATGCATTGTGACTGGCTCTTATTTATATTGATTATGGTTTAGTATATTGTAATTGTTAAGTGTCAACTGTTTAATTGGTATTTAATCTGCTGTTTACTATCATATTCTAATGGATTATGGAACACTGCTTTATCCGATATAGGCTACTTATTTTAAAGTTATGTTTTTATTACAACTTTTTGCAACTTTGACCTGTTGCAGGACCTTAGCCAGACCTTAGCAGAGGATACACAGAGTTCCAGAAAGCAATCAGTTGCAGGCAGGATGGATGAAGCAGGAACCAGACGCTGCTACCAATAGCTTGGTTACTTATTTATTTATTTACAGCAGACTCTACAAGTTACTGGGATGCAGGTGGCACTGTGGGTTAAACCACAGAGCCTAGGACTTGCCGATCAGAAGGTCGGCGGTTTGAATCCCCACGACGGGGTGAGCTCAGTTCCTGCTCCTGCCAACCTAGCTGTTTGAAAGCACGTCAAAGTGCAAGTAGATAAATAGGTACCACTCCAGTGGGAAGGTAAATGGCATTTCCGTGCCCTGCTCTGGTTCACCAAAAGCGGCTTAGTCATGCTGGCCACATGACCCGGAAGCTGTCGGCCAATAAAGCGAGATGAGCGCCGCAACCCCAGAGTTGGTCACAACTGGACCTAATGATCAGGGGTCCCTTTACCTTTTCCTACAAGTTACTATCTACAAGAACAGAATAGATACAGATCTTAACTAGCTCTCTCTTAAGAAACTCCAAACGACTCTCAGAACACCACACTGACCAAATACACACATTCCAGTCAGTAAGGTCATAAATCATTATTCCTGTGTGAGATTTCAACCAATGGTAAAGCTGTTTCTAGATAACTCCTCTCTGTTCAGTCATCCTTGGCTGTTGGCCAACTCTTAAGTGACTCTGTAGGAAGCTGCACAGAATTGCACGTACAGTGGTACCTCGGGTTACATACGCTTCAGGTTACACACGCTTCAGGTTACAGACTCTGCTAACCCAGAAATAGTGCTTCAGGTTAAGAACTTTGCTTCTGGATGAGAACAGAAATCGTGCTCCGGCGGCGCGGCAGCAGCAGGAGGCCCCATTAGCTAAAGTGGTGCTTCAGGTTAAGAACAGTTTCAGGTTAAGAACGGACCTCCGGAACGAATTAAGTACTTAACCTGAGGTACCACTGTAGTAAAAAACCCCAACAAAATATAAGCTCTGGCCATACGTGTAACACCTCCCCACCCCCCCATACACCTATTCTGGGACAGCAACCAACGTCCAAAGATTTTTTGCAAAGCAGCCTCACCCACAAGGCAGGGTGCAGTGCCCATCTCAGGTGGCAGAATTGCAAGAACTGATGTGCCCACTCCACCACTTCCACCACCTGTGAGAAGGAGGTTTTCTGGTGCGTTGCTGCTTATCTTCTTCACCCAGGGAGAAGCCAAGCAACAACACTTGGAGGAGCATCTTGGCTCCTACCAAGTTTGATGAGAGCCAAGGTCTTCCCGTGTGCCATGTTGCCAGTCGGCTCTCTCCTCACCCCTGGCGGAAGCTGATTGGCAACACTTGGAGCAGTGCCCCAGCTCCCATCAAAAACTGGAACAAGGCAACTGAGAGTGGTATGGCGGCGGAGGGGGGACAGGAAGCAGTAATTCCTGTTTTGCCCCAGGTGGCAAAATAGGGTGGGCCGCCCCTGCTCTTCTGAAAACAGCCACTACTTTTCGCCCAGGTTTATCTGAAACTATAACCCCTCAGCACTGAGGATGAATTTTGGCAACTACTATTGAACATTTGTTTGGGGTGAGTAAGAAAAAAAGTTGCTCCCAAATGAGGTGACATGAGATTCAGTGTTTTGCCTTGTATGCAGATGGGTGCATCGCAAACTGAAAGAAATCATTAGCCTACAATGTTTTATCAGCTAGTAGAAGATTTTAATGGAAGAGCTACATGTCAAGCCGATATGGAATCAGACCCTGAGGATTTAGAGACTCGCAGAAATGGAAATAAGGGAAAGCAAGTAGATAAGATTGCTTGCCATCTGTCAAAACTTGTAGGATAAAAATTAGAAAGGAAAAGAAATGAAATGAGATTTTATTTTTTTCAGCCAGTGGGACTAACCTGAATAAGACCAGCAATGCTGATGTTCATGGGCAAGCTGGATGCAAATGGAAAAGATTTCCTGGAGGTTTTTGAATTGTCAAATCCCTGGCGCTTAACACAACCTGGGTGAGAGGCATTCAGACCTTCACTGAGAGTGTGATAAAAGTACTGAACAGTGCTTGAAAATATTTAGATGCATACAGTTGACTTTTGCAAAGGTCTGAATGGATTAAGAAAATCTATAACCGGAATGTTCCAGTCCTGAGAAACTTTAAAAGTCAAATCGCTGAGATCAGGACAGCCTGATGCAAAACAACAGCCCAACCCTCCACAATACCATAGTTCCAGTTTAGGAAGTAATTTCCTGCTCTTGGTTCTCCAGTTCAGGCCATTCGCTAAGCCCATAGCTTTCTAGAAGAGGAAATGATCTGCATACAGGAAGTCCCAAATTAATTCCATGGCAACACCATTTAAAATTGGATGCATCTAAATTCATATATGAAGCAATCTGATTTACACCTCTGGAACTAAGGTAAGGTAAAGGTAAAGGGCTCCTGGGCGCTTAAGTCCAGTCAAAGGTGACTATGGGGTTGCAGTGCTCATCTTGCTTTCAGGCCAAGGGAGCCGGCATTTGTCCACAGACAGCTTTTCCAGGTCATGTGGTCGGCATGACTAAATTGCTTCTGGCACAGTGGGACACTGTGATGAGTGCCAGAGTGCACGGAAACACCGTTTACCTTCCTGTCCCAGTGGTATCTATTTATCTACTTGCACTGGCATGCTTTTGAACTGCTAGGTTGGCAGGAGCTGGGACAGAGCAATGGGAGCTCACCCCATCATGGGGATTTGAACCACCGATTTCTGATCAGCAAGCCCAAGAGGCTCAGTGGTTTAGACCACAGTGCCACGCGCATCCCTATCTCTTTACCTTTACTAAGGTGCACATCAGAACACAGCAATCAATAGGATTTCACATTCTCTTAAAGTTGTACCACTCTTTTGCCAGTTCAAACCTATCAAAACATGCATATAATATGCATTTCTTGAGGCAATGCAAATTAAAGTACTTGTTTTGAGAGAAAGCACACATTTAAATGAACATACACAGATATATATACTGAGCCACCCTGGTTCAAAGACGAAGGCTAGTGTCCAGATTACTGTCTCATCCTTGCTCATACATGCCTAACATTATGTTGGGGAGAGGCTGGCTTTGTCACTGCTCAGGTTCGGGTGATGGTGAGCCAGCCAGGTGCTTCTCCCACCAACCAACCTGGCAGGACTGGCTTGAGGAAGCTCCTATCACGTGATTTGCAAGTGGGAAGAGTGCTGCTTTCCCATAGGATCTGGTCGGCTTCTGTTTTGGACAGTGGCAGAGCATCAGGTGTGCATGCAAAGGTCCAAGATCCAATCCCAGGCACCTATGGGTGGAGCTGGTAGAGACCCTTGTCCTGCAAATTCAGTATGGACAATACTGAACTAGATGGTCACCACTTGGTATAAGGCAGCTTCCAACACATGGGTGTTTTGTCTGATCTTACTGTCTTATTCATGATAGCCAAAGTACTCCCTCTTTCCCCTTTCAACCCACAGGGGGTGTCAGGAGTCCAGGTTCCCAGCTTGATAACACCGTGAGTGTAGGAGGATTTATTGCAAAAACAAACAGATAGCTCCAGACGGCTCTGACAAAGCCTCCAGCATCATTACTCAAGATGACCCTGCTGAAGATACCTTCCAGCCACGACAGAAGATATTGAACTTACAACTCGTACGTCTCTTATTTTGCTTCCTATCTGGCAGCCCTCCCATTCACCTACTCTTTGGACTTAGTGGGTCAGCTCCAACATCTTCCTGTTCTGAGAGGCTGAGTCTATTCGTGCCTATTTGTGCTTTCTGTGAGCTTTGGCTGTGTTCCAACCCATTCTCAGCTACTGCCTTATCTGTCGGCCCGTCAAGATCAGGAAGAGCCAAATTCTGCAGCTGCCGGCTCTCCCCTGCCTGCCTAACATCTAAGCCTCTCTGTTCCTGGCTGCTTTCTGCCGTTGGCTGCAAACCTTTGCTTGGAGCTGTCTCATTCCTGACATGGTACATGCCAGCTGTGACAATCAGCAAGGCAGCCTAACCAGCCTGTTACCCAGGGCCATGTACCCAGGTGAAATAAGCTTAAACTGAGCAATGCACTGAGCTGTGTACATGAATTGATTTCCCTTGATGGCTTTCATCTATCATTCCTATTCCCAACGTGGTTGGACATAGACCTGGATGCAACTCTAGCTGTGCATCAGAACTGATAGCCCCTGATGCATATCCCTCTCATTGAAAGATGCATCCAGCCAGTTTGGTAGGGCCCAAGAGACAGTTGCAGGACGGGTCTTCATTGTGATGCTCCCTTGCATCCGCATACAGATCAAATCTGCTGTAAGGCAACCATTCAACTACTTCATGGAACAATAAGAAAAAAGGAGCAACTTTGTGTTTCTTTCTGATAAAGGACTAGTACTTAATCTAACTGTAATTTATGATATTCACAATGAATCTGCTTTCCATCTCCAAAGTACCAGTATATCTCGACTATCTTCACACTCCCAATTTCTTTTGACATTTTGGGTAGATTTGTGACCTTTTTGTTCATCTGTAGATGGTCCCTTGCTGGTACTATCACTGTTCAGCCATACCAGATATATGCAGCCTGCGTTCTGCTTGACATATTCATCTGCTGTTTCTTCTCCTTCTCGCTGAGCAGTTTTGTTTGAATGAGCATCCCGGTCTAGAAATGCAAGGGTTATCCTTCTTCCTAGAAACACTGAGCAATAACATCCTTCCCTATGTAAACAAGAAACAACAACAGCAAAAAAAGAAACAAAAAAACGCAAGGAATGCTGGTGCCTGGATATAAAAAAATTGCAAAGTGCCCTGCTGAAAAATCTAAGATAGTTTATGTGCTTGAAAGGGTTTCACAGAAGGCAGAATGTCACCAGCTGCAGTTTGTCTTATGAATACAACAGTATAGAAAAAAGATTTCTCAGCTGAAATTCTGTCTTCTATATGACAAAAGTATAGGTGCCTTCTTAGCTGAAGCCATGATTCCATTATAAGAGTACCTGGTCAGCTTTTGACATGAGGAGAGTTGTTGAAAGAGTCACACAGCTATATGTAGAATTTTGTGTGGCTCTGAGCTTTGGGAAATGGGTTTCATGAGCATATTTTGAGGGATTGTGTGTTCACCCCTTATTATTGTGTCCCTTAGAAATGTTTTGTTTGCAAACCTAGACTCATTTATCTGGGAGTCAGTCCCACTGAACTCAACGAGACTTACATCTGAGTAGACATGAGTATAGGGTCACATAATCTGTTAGGTCTGTGAGGTTCAGGTTTACAGTTTTGCAGGTATTCTTTAAGGAGAATCTAGGTTGCTAGGATTCTTTACGCACAAAAATGGAATAAACCAGAAGCTCCCACCAAAGAAGAATGGGTAAGTGATGGACTGGCATGGTAAAGAACCCAAATAAGAGAACCTAATGGCAAAGGTTTGTGGAAGAATCAAAGCCTTTTTCGAACTATTTAAGGAAATGTTATTGTATGATGAATACACGAGCAGGATTTGAACTATGAACAACAGGGAGAAAAAATAAAGATCATCCTCAGAGACACTGCCCCACCTTCTGAAGACCAAAGGTAAAAATGACCAGGGTCTTTTTGGGTTGGCCCCTCTCTCTGGAACAACCACCTGGCCCCTCCCAGTAGTAGTAGGGGATTTGAGCCTCATAACCCTATTCAATGCAGTGTCCAGGACGACCTTCATTTCATGTAGGCTCTAGGATTGATTTGGCTCTCTGGAAGATGTGAGCTCATGGTTGTATCTCTATACAAGGCTGCAAGTTGTCCTCCTCTACTCGTTTCCTCCAAGCAAAGTTGGAATCAGGCCCACATATTTAGCTGCAATGCAAATGAATACCAATAATTGAGATGATTCTCTCCTCAACACAACTTACTGTTTCCATCACTGCAATGGTGCCCGGTTGATGCAAGAGAAGCTGAACCAGCAGTCATGGGAATAGCTTGGTTTCTGAAGGCTAATTAATTTGGCGCAGCTGTTCTTGCTGTCTTTCACACACTCCGTTATCAAAACTTTTGTTATCTACACAGAAACACTGAGCTTCAGTTCAGGTCCTGCATATTTTGTATGCAAAACCTCTCCTTTTCCACGGGCTTGTTGGAAGCTATGGGATGAGCCAGCCACAAAGTTAAGCACATTTAATTCCTATTGATTTCAGCAGATGAGTGCAATAAGCCTCTTCTGCTGAAAACAATATAACTTGAGAGTGCATAACTTTAGCTGGATTTTGTGACCATTATTTCACCTCACTGGGACCTGTGATTCTTGCCCATCTTTTTTTTTGGGGGGGGGGAGACCCATAGTTTGGTGATAGGTGTATAAGTTCCCAAGTTCCAAACATCTCACAGGGAATCCTATGCATGTCAACTTATAATTCCAATAACTCAAATCAATGGGATATACTCTCACATACATGTGACGTATCTGATAGCTCTGGCATCTGGAGGCCCCATTAGCTAAAGTGGTACCTCAGGTTGAGAACAGTTTCAGGTTAAGAACGGACCTCCGGAATTAATTAAGTTCTTAACCCGAGGTACCACTGTAATGGCATTGTCCCAAGTGAATCTCCACCCTCCTCCCACTTCCGCATTCATCATCTCCTCTATGGGTACCGCTAACTGCCCTCTGTCTTGGAGCTTTTTGCTCTCCTACTTCTAAGGCTCACCAGGTTCTGAGAGATGGTGGGTCTGGAATACTTTCTAAAGACACCACACTATGTCAGCCAGGTGTTGCTCTGGCTCTCCCATGATTCCCCAACTTTCCCCTTCATCTGCCTCTGAGCTGTGACCTCCCTCCACTCCCTGTTGTAAATCTATACTGTCTTCCTCTTCCTCCTCCCTGGAAGGGTCAGGATGGGGAGGCGGTCTCCACCATTCCTCCTCTGCCCATCCCTGACAGTGGGAGTCTACAGGTTCTCCATCCCTGGTCTACACACAAGGCTTGTACTTTGCCACTAAGCTGCATAGTCTGTGAATATCAGAGGGCTGAGAAAGACCTCTCTGCGTGAGACCTAAACCTATCATCAGTGATCACCATATTGTTTTAACTTCTGGACAACTCTGTCACCAATGTTGAGAATAATTTTACACACACCAGTAACATTTTGCCCAGAGAGTAACCTGCTTGGAAACATGTTGCACTTCTCTTTAGAAACGAGATCATTATTCCAATCCATTTTGCAGAGGATATATTTTCACTGTGAATGTGAGTTGTTCACTTTGGGGCATCGTTATAATGATTCGACATGTCCGGTGCTATCAGAGATGTCACATTGTTACATAACAGCCTGTGGATGACAAAAACCAGATACAATGTTCACGGTGTTCATATACTTGTATCGGGAGAAATAATGAACTTTATATTGGAGATGGTGTCATAAAAAATCAGTATCTTTGAATAATTGAGACTCCTTGTGTCATAAAACTGTCTGAAATAAAAGTGCCCATGGAGATAAGACAGTCCTCCTGTCATGGAAGGTTTAGATGACTGTCTATCTGCAACAGGACCAGAACACCAAAAGGAAACTGGCTGACTCTACCTAGATACAACTAAGTACTGGATAAAAAAGTAACAGTAAATGACCCCTGGATGATTAAGTCCAGTCAAAGGCGACTATGGGGTTGCGGTGCTCATCTTGCTTTCAGGCCGAGGGAGCTGGTGTTTGTCCACAGACAGCTTTCCGGGTCATGTGGCCAGCATGACTAAACCACTTCTGGTGCAACAGGACACCGTGACAGAAACCAGAGCACATGGAAACACCGTTTACCTTCCCACCACAGTGGTAACTATTTATCTACTTGCACTGATGTACTTTCGAAATGTTAGGTTGGCAGAAGCTGGGACAGAGCAAGAGGAGCTCACCCCATCACAGGGATTCAAACCGCTGACCTTCTGATTGGCAACCCCAAGAGGCTCAGTGGTTTAGACCACAGCACCACCCACGTCCCAATGGCGTTTCTGTGCGCTCTGGCTTCTGTCATGGTGTTCCATTGCACCAGAAGTGGTTTAGTTATGCTGGCCAGAAAGCTGGCTGGAAAGCTGTCTGTGGACAAATGCCGGCTCCCTCGGCCTGAAAGTGAGATGAGCACCATACCCCATAGTTGTCTTTGACTGGACTTAACCGTCCAGGGGTCCTGTACCTCTCCTTAAGTCATAGATACAACTACAATACACCATGTGATTAAACTCTGTAATGCCACTAGCACACAACCTCTTTGAACAAATTCAGGAACACCACATTGGTCAGGCCATGTAATTATTTTCAATGGTCATAGAATCATAGACTCAAAGAGTTGGAAGGGACCCTGAGCTGTCCCTTAGGGGGGGTCAAACCTGAAATCCTGGCATTATCAGAACCATGGTCTAACTAACTGAGCTACCCAGGTGGCCTTCTGGGGCTGTTTCATTTCAGAATGAAGCTTAAGGAAACACAATTGGATATTTTCCCACAAAGAAATCCTGCCTATCAGAATGATAGCTAGGCTATCAGTTTTCCTTCCAACTTTATAACTATCCATTGGTATAACTTTCCATTAGTAACACTGAAATTTTTGATACAGTAAGTATTCAAACATGGAATCAGTCCCCCACATGCATTTTGCAATGGTATAATCTTGGGGGGGGGGGCTGTAAATTATGTACCCAGAAACGCAAAGTGGGCTTTAGAATAACAGAGTCTGAGTTCTGAACAAGAACCAATGGTCATCTAGGAAAACATCTGCAATGGAGATTAAAGCTGTGAACTTGAACTAGATGCACAAAACATGTGGATAGAGATCATGGCTTGGGTTTTCAAGACTTCGAGGGCTGCAGAAAAGTGTCTTCAACACACATCTCCTCTTCCTGTGACTTTTCAACAGTAAGGAGGAAAGCAGGAGGGGGGGTCACACTGAAGGGTGAGCGAGCAAAAGAGCACTACTGAAAATCCCCACTGTGTCCAGAGTCCAAGTTCATAGCATCAGTTTGTTGAAGCCATTATGGCTTCTTGAACTGTGATTGCTTGTTGCAGAATGCTTCCTAGGATATGGGGGAGGGGGGACACTGCCAATGATCCTCTTGGCAGATGTATGTGAAAACAGTCCCCGTGCATTTGCACACTTGAGATTTCCCTCTGCGTTTTTTGCCTCCCACATGCCTGTTTGACCATTCAGGTTCTAAAGTAACTTCGCTCATCTCCTTGGACTCATTTGCCACTTGTTGGCTAAGTGAAAAATCCCTTTGACTGCTCTCTTTTCAAGAGCTGCTGTTATTTTGGTGTCTGGACGGCAAGCGGCATGGTAAACTTAGTTAGGATTCAATTCTTTTCTAGATGACTCCTGAGGCCTCTCCCTAGGGAAGCTTAGCTTTGGGCTTATATGACACTGATGCAGTAGCACATGTTATAAGTGGAATTCTCCCCCCTCCTCCCCTTCCGCAAGCATTAATCCAGTTCTGGAGACAGAGAAGCCAGTAGCCACACACACAAAAATCTGATTTATTGAAGTGTTTGATTGCTGGCTGAAGTGGATGGAGACAGCCAGGTTATGTATCCACAGCAGTGACCAGAGGAGAAATGACTGCTGGGAGGAGAGCAGAGAGAAGAAACACCTGTATCAGCAAAATAGGACATCTTCGTCTGCCCCAGCTGCAATAAAACATGCCTTTGCAATATTGGTCTCTACAGCCACAGCAGGCGCTGTAACTCTCCAACGGTTTGACTTTACCCCCA